GTCTTCTACAAGACCTTGAAAATTAACTTTAAGCTATTGAATTTTTGCGTGGTTTCTGCCTTTGCCAAGCAAAACAACACAAAACATAACCCTTATGGCAGACACATGGTCTTCTCATGCCTTCTTCTGCCTCTGTATGTGACACTGCACACTTGAGTGACACCTGCTGTGACCACCTTACCAAGTCAATGTTCATCTGTGCTGCCTCCACTCTCCTTCTTCCCATTGCTACAGCAAAATACTCTTGAATACTTCAAACCAAAAGAAAAAAAGTCCATGAAAACCACCTAATGTGTTTCAACTGTTTGATGCAGTGTAAGAGGAAGGAAAGATACCTCTTTGCAGGGACATCCGCCAGCTGCTAATATCTCTAACAAAAGTAGGGCTACAGAGAGACTGTTCCTGCAGATCTCATGATGAAAGTCCAGACGTTCATCAGAGAAACCTTCTTTGACATGTACCTTCCATTATGAGTGTGTGTTGGGAGTGGAGCCACGTTGTGGAGTAAGAAGGTTCTACCGTGTTAAAGCTGTCTATCAATAACAAAGTATTCATACTTTGTTAAAGCACTTTCTATATTTATTTAAAAAAAAATCCATGCGACATTCGATGAGAATTTTTAGAGGAATATCTATGCTTAGTGTGGCTTATTTAAGAATGAGAATGCTGAACTTACATAATTCTAGATAAAATAATAGATGTTCAGAGGCATGGATTATTGCAAGGAAATAACTGAAAACAGACTTATTATATGTAAACAAAAGTGGATTTGAAATAGATACAGAATTGTATTGAATTTTTTTACAACCTGACATGTCACTGTTTCTGGGTGCAGAATGGCTACAATTTTGAAATGTTAAAATTTTGTTCTTTTTATATTGTTGTCTCGTGAAAATAAGGTCTATGTTGTCTTCTGATGCTCCACTGCAAACTGACAGAGGTCTATTGAAGCTACTGAGTAAAACGTACCTTCCTTGTAATAGGGTAGGGATAACTTCCCAAGGGAAGTGGCTTAATAACAACAGCTGAATACAGCCTGCATCAGTGCTAACTACCGCAAGTGGCTCCTTTGATTTAGACAAATTAATTTGAAGTTGCTATGAAACTACATGTTGCAGTAGCAAAACGTATTTACTTAGATTAAGGCAGGAAGGGATGGCAAGGAAACCTAGATCTGACTTGTTTTCCACAAAGGCGTAATAAAAAAATCATTTAACTGAGTCTCCAGATGGTTATTAAAAGCAGTTAAAGCTACCTACAAAACGATTGTACTTGCTAGCAGTAATAGTAATTTCTCCCTCAACGTGGAAAATAAACCCTGATCGTGTGGTCTACTAGTGCCATCTATTGTGTGCAGGGAAAAATACAGATACTGAAGGTACAAGTTGCCTATTTTCTCTTTTAAAATGTGAGAAATACTCATTCTGTACTACAGCAGCAATTAGAAAACATAGCCAAAGCTTGTAAAATCATTGCAGTTTTTTGAAAAATACAGCAATTATTATCATGTATGTGTATTACAGCAACATACAGGACTCTAATCACTGTCAGGCTCCATCGTGCCAATGCTGTTCTTGTATACATGTATGGAGCACATGGGTGCACACACACAAATGCAGTGAAAGACAGACCCAGCTGTGATAATTTTAGTCAAAGCTATGGAAACCTTATAAACTAAAACCTTTTGCAACTTCCTTATGTTGGGTCAAATTTCTCCCAAATAAAGGGACATTAGCTCATCTTCCAAGGAAATGAACCTTACTCCTTGTTAAAATCTAAACAACGTGCCGCCTTTCACCATTTCTTGGAGGAGAACAGCTCTTCTAGCAAAATCTCATGAGGGGAGAATATTTGTAGGGGACATTGTAAAGAACTATCATCAGTTCACCAGCCCCAAACACTCTGAAGTCTTCGAGCAGACCCTCCTAAACCTGAAGGCTTGTGAAAACACGGTGTCAATATTGAGACACATATTCACAAAGCAGTCTAAAATACCGAGCTCTTGAATGTCTTCACAAACTTGATACTGCAATGTTCAAAACTTACTGTCGTATGTTACCATAATCCCTCTAGTCTGCTTGAAACTTTTACAACCACTATTGCCACTAAATTATAAAGCCCTGGCCATCAAGATGGTTTTACTTCTATCAAACATATGCTGCTGTCGGAGATAAGGCAGTATGCAAACAGGGCAGATCAGAAATAAAAATTCAGAATACCTTCTGAGAAAAAACTAAGGTGCACTATGTGGCTGAGCACACATGGGAGAGAAGAGCAGCCCGAGTAACAGTGTCCTAAGACAAAGTGCGTTTTAGGTATTTTGAGTCGACTGAGTTTCATCCTTACGTGATTTGGAACTGTGGTAGAGACCACAATGGTAGTATTTCATCAGTAGCTCAAGCTGCACAACTTAGAAAAATGAGGATTTGCACTTTTGGAAGGGGTAGAGAACTGATTTAGCATAATCACTAAAAATAACAATAACCGTCATGTGATTTACTGTAGTTTATGCAAAAGAAGTTTCTCAATCACTTATGATGTGCTGACAAATAGAAAACATCACGCAACCAGAGTGAAAATGTTTCTAGCATTTTCTAGAAAAAATAGCTATTTCTTGTTGCTAAGAAATGTGAAGATACAGAAAAAGGGGTCTGTTGCAAAGGCACAGAAGTGTACTGTGACATTATCTGTGCTCACCTCTAGAGAACACTTGACTGTAAAAAGTTAAATAGCGTTACTTAACAAGTCATCTACTGCTAAAATGATACAACTTGGTAGAAGAAAATATTTTTCAATTGCTTGCAACATGTCAACTCACATTTCAACAGAAAAAATAATTAGGATCTTGACTGAAAAGCTGCCTGCCTGGAGTCAGAGAATAATCCAAGTGTTTTCAATAGCTGTTCACGGCACAAATGAAAGGGTAACAATCCATTGTCTCCACCTGCATGCAGATACACGGCAATGTCAATTTGACATAACGAACGAAATAAAAGGCCAACTGCTGGTGACGCATCCTTTTGGTCATGAATGTAACTTCTATAAAATTGTACCATGATAAAGCTCAGAAAAATGTGAAAGATTCCATCCAGTAGTTCTTCAGTACTTGAATTAACATGTCCATTTCAGCAAACAAAATTATCTCGATTCAGCGGCTTTCTCTGAAAAAATGGGGTTTTTTCTCTTTAGGAGACCGTAAGCACTGTAAAGGTTGGCAAGCTCTGTATGATTCCTTTGAGGACAAAGTACTAAGAGGTTAAATAACTGTGAACTTGTTTCAGGAGCCTTGATATTGGGATGATGATGTAAGGTTTTATTAATCTTCCCTTGCCTTGAAACTTGTGAAATTTACTGTGGGGGTTTCCTGAGTAAATCGGAGCAATACAAATAATGCTTTTCCTGTTTAAGTGTACTTGGATTCACTGTAAAAACACACTAATATTACTTAAAGCTGAACTTCAAGTTAATGTAATTTATTTTATCCATGTAAAGGGTTTAGTAAATTGATGAGATGAAATCAGATATAATTTGAAACAACAACTTACAGCTCCTCACACTTTAATTTAAGAAAGTTAGGAATAAAAAGCAATAAAAGAATGATACACAATGCATTAAGAAATATGCTCCTTTCTTAACATGGCCTACAAAAGAACAGGATGTCACTTTTTGTGGTTGGTATACATTTTCTTGCGAGTATTTCTGATCTTGATGGAACGAGTGCCCCTTGCAGGACACCTAACCAGCAAGACATAAGTCTTGCATTTAGCCAGTACTAGATTTGTTTTTTAACATGATTGTAACAACAAACCTGTGCAAGATAACATGAATACTGGGGAAAGCAAATCTGCCAGTGAAAAACATCTTTACTATTTTTATTTGGAAGAACTTATAAAGAAAACATGGACTCTTTAAGTTGTGAAACAGATGAATTTAATACAGTTTAAAATACACATTACAGGAAGTATCAACCGATGACTAGTCTTAAGACATCACTCTCCAAAACATACATTTGTTTTATCTCATGAAAAATTAGCAACTGAAAATCACCAGTATTGCTGCATAAACTGTGATAGACCATGGCAAATTTAATTTTCAGAGACCTTGATTGATAGCCAAGTGGTTAATGCACTAAATGGAGGTAGTGAATGAGTCCAGGAAAGTCCCTTTCACCACACTTGTAACATCTGTCTTCTCAATTAGTTCCTTTCCAAGCGTTTCATTACAGAAGTAAGCTTATAGCAGCAAATATGCCATATTTGCACTATAGAAGCTCTCAAGGATTTTTTTCTTCTTTTTTATATATTTATATATATATATGTATATATATAAAAATACTCATATACATAAAACCAAACACCTGAGAACTACTGGTGCCTCTTCCTGTTTTCCATTCACTCCCACTGACTTTTGGGAGGCCCTCTTCATTCCATCATTGTAGGTTAAAACACAGGCTGGAAAACTTCTGCTTTGCATTAAACAAATTGCAGTAAGATTTCTCTTTAGTAGATTGTGCATAAATGTGAATTTACTTTCTATTCCCATTTCAGTTTTACACATCCTATGGCCAGCAGTGCATGAAGGGGAGAAAGGGGGAGACTTTTACAACGTACATTGCAGTGATGACTAGAAAACATTTTTCAAGTAATATAGTTTAAACTTCTCCTAGGTTTTGTATTTGTAACAGTGTCCACCATCAGAAACATGTAGCATAGTTTTGCCACCTACTAACTGCAAATTTCTAGTCTTGAAGCAAAGATGCCCCCTTCTGCTCACAGCTTCCTCCACAGTTCTTGCAACTTCACAGAGTAGGAATTCAGCCTTAGTGTTTTCCATTGTCTTTAGACCTTCCTAACTATTTGCAAAATGTATTTTCTCAAGTTTAAAACTAACATTACTAATCAGACTATGACAAATGAAAAACTATGGATATGTCCAAAAGGGAAGAGCTGAGGAGATCAAAAGTCTTTGAATGACTTTTAAGTGCTTCTACAGATTGCGTCTATTACAGTATTTTTTAATACATCAAACAGTATAAAAATTACAAAATGTTGCAAAAAAGGTAGCAGGAACATTGCTGTGAGTTTTTGAAATGTTTTAGTGGTTGCTGTTGTAGATGTTGCAGAGTTAACGGCATGGGTTCTTTATACACCTTTTTAAATCCCTGTCCCTCTGCAACATACTCTATAAGTAAAAAGAAACCTAGAGTATTCCTGTATATAAAATATAATTTTCTCCACTATCAGGAGTCTTCATGTATTTCTGTTGATATCCTTAAAGAAAATCTCTAAAAGAAAAATAAACCAAGATCAGCTTAAAATAAATTAATTTATACCTGTGATATAAAGTACAAGGAGATAAAACAAAAAAAATATTTAATTGAAATACATACTGTGAGAAATAATAAAAAAAAAAGGTGTCTTATTTTTCTTAGAGTTTGGCAGTTGGATTTTCTTAATTAATAGTTTGGTTTTCTGTGAGCACCAGTTAGGACAAAAGGACGATAGAATCCAAAAAACCTTTGCCATTGTCAAACACTAAAATTGGATTTCATGCTATTTTATAGCCCGTAAATTAAAATTTCCACATTTCTATTTAGTTTAATTTCATCGCTTTCTCTTACTATGTTTACAATATTTATATATAGTTAAACTTTCAGTGTTGCATGCTTTAGGATCTGTGTTCTGAAGCAGACTTCTCAACTCATTTAACTACTATGAGGACTACAGCATTGTCTGCAAATATGTATCTCCAAGGGAAGAGTTTGACTTTTGATAAAACAGATACCACCATACATGTAGACATCAGAGGGTGATGGACTGGCAATAAATACCTCCTACCAAAACTGGTAAATGTAATGATGCATACATTTCTGAATGGTACTTCTATATGTCAGTTTTAGAAAGCAATTATATGCCTTTAAGATAATGCATTGTGTAATTTTGAAAAATTACTGTTTTTTAAAAAAAGCATTTTGTTCTGCAGAATCTAGCCTTTTTTTTGTTTTTTTTCCTAAAAAGGAAAAGCCCTACAGCCATGGTCTATTCAGTACTATCAGTCAAAAGTAAATGGGTGTAGAAATATGTGCTGTTGGTCAGTAAAATATATGTTAACTCTGAATCCTTAGTTGAAAATCGATTTCTGTATATGCTTATGAAAATTATATACAGGTTATAACTAAGTATTAAGCACTTCCATGCTGAGCAAGCATGTACATGAAGAAGCAACTAAATTAATTACAAAGTTTTACATGATCTGATGTCAAACTTTGGTTTTATGCCAGAGGACTTAGAGGGTTCTCACTATTTTTCCTCCTTTCCCACCTCCACGAATTCTTGATATGGTTTTCAGGAATTTATCACAGCACAAATTGGCCCACATATGTGATCTCAGTTATTAGTTCTACAGTTACACAAGTGCTTGAATCTAGTTTTCGACTTTCTGGGACTTGTGTGAGGCAATAGTATATATGAAAAATATACGTATGGGGTATGACATCTACGGTTACTACAACTGAGTTAGTTCATCTTTGTAATTACGGTATAAAGCAGCAGTTCTCAGTCTTTTCTCCCTTAAGCTCTCTACTTCAGTCTTCCAAAGTTTCAACTACTTTATGGGGGAAACAAATATCCAGAAGTCTGAGAAGCATAAGGAGGCCATGATCCTCCTAACACCTACAGTAATATCCAGGAGGTTTTGTCCTTAAATCTCCACAAGGCACTTGCCATGACCAATGGGTTTTTTTAATTTTTTTTTACAAGTTATTTTGCCAAAGTTAAGCCTCACACATTGGTATTTTCAGCAGTTTGTATCCCTGTACCAAACAAAAACCTTAAGAAACACTGCAGCTAGAACATGCCGTGTAAACAACAAGAGTTGGCAAGGCAAAGTTTGGGAAAGTAAATTCAAAGTATTCCTTTCAAAAATCATGAAAAAGTGTTTTCTTTTTAACTAATCTAATATTCTGTCTTCCTTAAAGTCAGGCTTGATGCATCACCAGATCCAGCTTCCCAAACCAGAAGGTTTTCATATTAATACTTTTCAAGAAGTTTTTGATATTCTTTGCATTGTGAAGCAACATACATTAAAACGTGTATTTTTTTTTTTTAAAGGAAACATCTATGGTTGAAATGCATTGGATTATTATATAAAATCCCTCAAGTAGAAAGAAATGCAGTTCATTTATTCTGGGATTATGTCACCTTTAGAGGGCCTCCTTTTACAAAAAGTTTGGTAAATAAGTAAAATATATTTAGTGAATAATTTTCAAGGCCAGACACCTATTAAATTATTAAACTGATTTATAAAACTGATTTTTATGTTTTAAAACCCATGGGAAAAATATTCATTAGGTAGACAGAAATCAATTCTGTGACTGATAAAATTTGTTTCTGTATAGCTTTGGTATATCTAGCTGAGATAAAGAATTGAAATTTTCTATTGCATTTGCTGTTATACAATTCATAGCACTTCTTAGTCACTGCTAAAATACGTAAATACCAACCTGAAAATCTCTAATGAACGTTAAAAAGAAGAAGATAAAACCAAAGGCCACTGTCCATTCACAGATTGCACTCCCAAAATGGTAAGAATAATCCTGATGGAATGAGACATAAAATAAATCTTCAGATAAAGCAGGTAAACAAAATAACTGTGGAATGCTATAAAAATAGATATTTCCTTCTGTAAATTCAACAAATATTTTAAGACTTATGACTCATCATCCCAATACCCTGTTGAATAAGAGTTAATTAAGATTTAATTTTTACAGAATGGTAAGTATACTTATCAAGGTTGCTTTTATTCCATTAAGCTACATATCTTGTGCACTAACATGAAAAAGCATAGCTTGAATATAATTTGCACCAGAAAAATTTAGTTCTTATGTGAGGGATACCAAAGTGCCCATATTCAAAACTTTTACTCAGAGCCACTGAGTTCAATAGTACTACCTCTTATAGTAAATTCTCAGATTATTTTAAAATGGAGAGCTACCCTTGTACAGTAGTGCCTGACAAGACCTTTGTTTTTAAGTAGACCTTCATAGAAAACATACATAAGATGACACAAACAGAATGTAAAGTGTTTCTTAACATGCCATTGACAAATATGTCATCTGTTTCAGTAAAAAGTTTCTCATCCTTGCATCTCAAGTAAAAAAAACCTCAAGAGGCAGATATTACCAAGATTATCTAACTTGTTAAGATTTATCTCACAGCTGCCTTGCCACAATTTGGTTGAAGTACATTTGCCAAGTTTGCTTTTATTAAGCTCCTCAAGCAGGATACACTCTCTGTATTATTTAATCTGTCTTTTGAATACCTCCGTGCGGCAAAGTTTGTCCAAAAATAAAACTTACTTTTGTAGTTATCTTTCTCAGAACACTGAAATCAGTACAAACACCTGATATTGACTTTCATATGCTTCAGGTCAGACCCCCAACATTTATCATGACAGTAACAATTGTTTAATAAAGAATGGTGAAAAAGCTGAGAAAACTAATGTTGTAAAAAACCTCAAAAACTTCAGAAAGGTCCACTTTCATTTCACGTGTGAAGTTCATTTTCAAGAAATGTGACTATAAAAGGAAGTAGAACAACTCATTTCCAGAATATATATATATATTTTTTTTTACAATTTATTCTATGGGTAAGTTTCCAATGCTTGGTTAAAATGAAAGTCTAACTCTTTGACGATTTACCCATTCATGACAAGTTTTCTTACCCAAGCTGCAGACAGTTTTCTAAGAAATAACTGGAAACCAGCATGGCACAAATCGATGAGATTTCACAAATCTGTTCATGATGATGTACTGTTTAAAGTCTCTGAAGTGTTTGCAATGCTATACACTTTTAGATAAACATAACAGCGTATCCCAAATAAAATGATATAGGGTAAATTGGCTACCTAGTGAGATTTTACCTTTTCATCTGGAGTCCAATCAATTTTTGTCATGGATATTTTTGAAGCGAACACAATCACTGGGAAAAACACAGTGTAAAGGAAACTATAAAAGTTTAGTGAGTAATAGTGAAAATTTCTGCTTACAAAAAAAGACCCCATCTCCCCCTTCTGTAACACAGGAGATCCTGAACAACCAGAATATCAAATCAAAGTATTAAGAAGACAAGTAAATGAAACACACTATTGAAAGATAACCGATAGCAGCAATCAGAACAAATTTCTGTGCAAATAAATGTTTCTGCAGGTTCTTCCAAAGTACAAAGGGTAAAGGGAGACACTCCAAAACTTAGATCACGTTCATGACTGAGAACTGTGGGCGCAGTCTTGCATTGTGGGAAGGGAAACCATGATGGTTTCCATTGGTCCACAATAGGTGTCTTGATATATTTGTACGACTGTCTCTCAGGACTGGGGCTTTAAAAGCTTTTTCACAGCTGCTGAAGCCAAAAGCGGGCTGTAGCTGTCTGGCTGTTGCGATGATCTGCTGCAACCACTTTTCAACACTGGGAGATCACCTAAAGACCAGTACAATCAATGGGATGACTGATGTCAGCAGGATGTGGGAAGAGCCAGTGTGTTGACTGTGTCTCCAGAGGAAGCATCTAGTGAAGGCAAGCACCAATAAACAGGACCCAAAGCATCTGCTTAGGCTTGAAGGAAATCTTGTATATGCCAACTGTATTTTATGTGTTTGCGTGTTAGGTTCATTTTAGAAGCAGTGCTCCCCTTTTGCAGGTCGTTCTCCATACCCTCCTTCAAATGAAGGAGGCTGGAAAGTTGGTCTAGCTGACTTGCTGAGGTCCCTTCCTATCTGAATTATCATATGATCCTATGAAGAACAATGGGGCATTAGATTTAAATATACCACTGAAAGAAGAGATACAGTTTTTTAGAAAGACCCTGAAACTCACCTTTATGCTATTAATGGCATTCAACATGCTACATGCATTACTATAGCAGAAATATTAGAGAGCCCTAAACAACGACTGTAACCTCATTTTCATCCTTTATCAGCAATGGTTTAACTTAAAAGGAAAATCATGAATGCATAAAGGCAAGACCATGGAATACACCATAAAGGATACTGGGAATGAAAGCAATGCATGATATTATAGATATGGCCATCCTTATGTGACACACAAAGTAAGTGTTCCATTGTGGACAGGACTTGTAAGAGATTATGGACTGAAGTGTAATGTATACAACACCCGAGCCAAATGCCACCAAAGCGCCTATGTCATGGACACTGGGAACAGACAGCTCCTGGAAAGAGAATCAGCACAATGGTTAGTTGCTACTGTTTCTACAGTGGTAGGAATCACTGAGCCCTTAGAAGACGGTAGCCACATTATGCTGGACGTGTACAAGCAATGGGAAGTGGTCCCTTCTTCCAACAATCTACACAGGGAAGATGAAAGAAAAAGGAGAAAGAGTAGCTCAGAGAGGTAAACTAACCATGTCCAAAGCCACCACATCAAAGTCCTTTCCTGTGTTCACATAAAAGCATAGATCAGTTTTAGTGCTGTTCAACAATTGGTCTATGACTAATTAATGTTTCCACAAACAGGAACTGGCTTGTGCTTTTCTTAAGAGGTTCCTATACATCATTTTTGCCTTTATCCTACCAAAGATTTTCATCCTTTTGCATTGAAAGTCTAATCTGCATTTGTGTAGCCATACTCTAACTAACAGTAAAGTTTCATGGGACCTGTTCTAAGTAGTGACTGCTCTAACTCCAACACCCATCCTCCAGTGGCCAGCCACAAGGCTCCAGGAAATAAGCCAGCAGAAAATTAGTTACATATTAAAAAAAAAAAAAAAGTGTTGCTTAAAATAAGCTCTTGATTTGAAGGTCTTACACTGTCAGCCTTTTGAATTATTCGGCCTTCTTACTCTTCCCTACATCATCAGCCACTTTTATTCAAGTTCCACAACAGGTGAAAGTGTGTGTAAAATTCCAGTACCACTATATGTGGCCTATATTTTTATAATACCCTACCTATGGAAGATTCTCTCCTTTAAAACACAAACAAGTAGAATACCGAGTAACAAAGCAGCTGAAGATTCCAGAGAAATTATTGTATTCTAAATGTTTTGAAAAATTACTAATAAAAAGTTATTGGAATAATAACTTTGTATTAGTAATGGAATCCAGTATTAGACTGTTAACTTTAAAGCTCCTTTCTCTCACCAGAGCATAGCAGAACAGGTGCTATGATCTGACGGTTCTATTTTAGTGCTTCATGAAAACACTTCTGTATCTTCTCATTACATATTTTACATTACCTTTCCTGCCTGGAGGTCACTGTTTTCTTTATCTTGTAATGGTGATTATGTTCACCTGCTCTTTTTAAATCTTTTTTCCCCTGTGCTTCTCTTTTTACTTATTCCCTTCTATCTCTCTGTGACATACTAAGTTGTGTCAGATTTTAAGGCATGTTCATCACGTAGGTATTTAAGTGGTATCTCATCTATACTTGCATTTTCTTCTCCTCTGTCCCACTTTTTGTCTTCCATATAGGAATGACAGGATTTGGTATGGAAAGCATTAAGCAAGTGTAACTGTTGGCTTATGCATTTAGCCCCGTACACAATATATAGAACTTTTCTAACATGGCTCTCATGATTGCTCCTATCAAACTGCCACAGCTTCCCTAAAAAGCCCATCACACTGAACCCCTGCAGAACCTGGGAAATGTTCCAACATCTGGTGCGGTTAGCCCCCTTTGCTTTCCAGTCAAAGACAGGAAGATCTGTCTTTAGTCTTCTCTATTTCACACCTAACAGGCAAAACCAGACCTGCTAAGACCTGGGTTTTTGCTTTGCCTTTTTCATTAAGAGCTACGGGATTTTTCCTTCCGTATCCAATTATCTTCTTAAAGCTAACCCTCCACTGTCTTTCATTTCTGTATTTCAAGCATTGGGTTATTTAAAACAGAGAACAAACACTTTATTCGTGACCATTAGTTATTTTCTCAAACTCTTTTGCTTTTGGAAAACACACTCCTAGTGTTTTCTCTCACCCTTTTTCTCACTTTTTTTAGCGTTCAGAGAACAATATAATTAAAACTCCATGCTACCTGCCATGCAAAAAAAATTCCTTACAACTAATTATGCTGTTTAAAAAGTCTCACAAAATTCCTTACAACTAATTATGCTGTTAGTCTCAGCACAAGTGGCATTAGATTTGAGTAAATAAAAGCAAACCTTTTATATAGTATAATTTCACACTGAAGCCTTTTTAGCAAACCAGATATTTTGCTTTGGGGAAAGAGAAAATGAACTGATGCTCAATAGTGTCAAACAGTTATCCTGATTAAGCACGCTCAAAAATCTGCTAGATCAGATCCTTAGCTAGATTAGATCCTTACTGTGTTCTGAACCCTTCCTGCAAACTGCCCCTAACATGCAAAGTAAGGTCAAAGGAGAGGAAAGAGAAATGAGGTGAGGAAGGAGTTTATGAACCGACAATGCAAGACAATAGAGATTAGATAAGAACCAATGTTATAACTGTCAAGGGAGCCCTTTGGAAACTTTAGGATCAAAGTTTCTGCTTCCCTGACTCTCCCAAATTATTTTGCATTCCTGATTTGTCTTTTCCTTATTGAAGCTGAGTTTGTTTTCTGTTTCAGTCAAGCAACACTGTTCCTCATCATCTAACATTTTATGCCACATATGAATCTAATCACTAAGAGTACAGATACTTAAGAGTAGACTAGCATGCTTAGAATAGACTGAAGTTCCTACAGTGTTTGCAACTCACAAACAATACCTGAAGGAAAAACTAAAAAGAGCAAGACATAGGCCTAAGGCAGAGTTTTCTCTTCGAAGATACCATGTCAATTACATGCAAAATTGTATTGGCTGCTGAAGCCCTGACAATCTTTATTTTCAATTTCTCTGTATGTTGTCAGGTCACTATATGAGCACAACAGTATTCACCAAAATGTTCCTCAAGGTAGACCATGCTTTAAAAGACATAGTTCAGTTGTTTCCACAGATTTAAAGGCAGTATCTCAAGCTATGTGCCAATTAAACTTGACTTGATTCTAAGCTGAAGTTTTCAGTGCAATTGTCCTAATACTTTCTTGTGTCATAATCTAATCTATTACATGCTTTCTCACAGGAAAATGTGAAAAGAATAATCTGTTTCAATATTCTTCCTCTCTATTGAATTTTCTTTCAGACACTGAGAGCTGAACTTCTTCGATTTACAATGAAATGTCTTATCGTTTCTGGCAAAGGAAATGGTAATTCTACATGCCTCTATCAAAAGACTTAACATCACATCATGCCATCTCCTGCAAACTCAAAACAATGGACTAATATTGTGCTCGATGTTCTAACCTGTCAGATAAATCTAGTTTATTCTGTAGAAAATGCCGCTCATGTACATGCCATCATTCAGGTAATGATATAGGTGATTTTGCTAGTCTGGCTTATTCTTCCCTACCTGACTGTAAGTAAACTAAACTGCAATTAGCAAAGCCTTTTTACAGCAAAATTTTCAGAATAAAAATTTTACAGCAAAAGCATCTATACTGAGTTGTTTTCTAGTACAGACGTTACATGACAAGCACACACAAACCCCCTTACTACGTAACTGTACAAGCAAAAGATCTAGTTTATAGGGAGAAAGCAAATCTGACTTTTTAAAGGTACTGAAAAAAGACAGGAGTAAGAAACACACTCTTGCTCCATTTGCCAAGTATCCACACCAGGATGTTAACCACTCTGATCTATTTGACTTTTTTAACTGGTAAAACAGCTTTAGTTTAATTTATGACATGAAATTTATGGTCATACCTGAAAAGTTGCAACTATGCCCATTCCAATACAGCCCATCAATCCAATACATAACGAAAACATGTTGCATGAAGACCTAACAAAGTGTGACGACTCATTTTGCTTCTCTATTAATAAATATCTGATGTACATTGTAATTACAGCTGAAAAACAAAAAATACATATTTTGGTCAATTACCATATATTTCTTACATTTTAAGACCTTGCCCTGTAACATATTTGCATACAGAATAAAATTATAAGCATAACGCAATAAATAATACTGACTTTAACTCTATTGGGATGAAGAAGAAAGGTAGTATGTATTAATTAAAGGATGTATTAATTTCAGATAGAACTATCTTAACATTATCTTAGTCTTAACATCACACATTAATGCTATCTAGAAATAACGGCACATGACTTCAAGAAAAGCACTAATTTAAATCACATTCTCTTGTGCATTTTAGGCACAGAGCCATTGGCATTCCACATTAGGAATAGCTGTTACTGGGAGATGAACCATAAAATAGAAGTGGGAGAATTTATTCTGCTTTGATATGCAGTCTTGTACCAGAAATACATCTCCTTAAAATGGATGCCCTGAAGAATTAATACATTTTTGTAGAGTGCAAACAGGAAAAAATATCTAGCTGTGTATCCAGAAAATATTTTCAAAGCTTTTGGGCCAATTCTAGCTGCTCTTAGCACAAAGAGTCCCCAAACCACTACACACAGATTTTATTTCAGCCTATGTGACCCCAATATGCAGTTCACTCCTGACAAACAGTTCTACTGAATTAGAAGGTCATAGTTCATCAGGATATAATAAACTGTAGACTGGATTCCACAGTTCAATAACACAGAACATAGTTTCAGTCTATTTACAGTTGGAAAAATAGATCGAGTAAGTTCGTCCAGGCACTACAAGGTTACATGAGACACACCAAGGTAGTGTGACTGAATGAGGCTCTTGGAAAAGGTAAAATATGCGATTTTTACTTTGCATGAAGGCCATCATGGACTACACGCATACAGAGGTACAGAGTTCTTGTTCCTCCATCCCCTAGAAGTGAATAGAAAATGCCAAACTTGCCGATTCAAGGCCAGTAGACATTTAGTGGAGTAGGCATCTTGCAGAGGAAACCAGGTGTTGCTTCAACACTGTTCTTTGTTTTGATGCAGCATCCTAGAACCTAATGTCTCCCTACATCAAAGATACGGTTTTTGCAAAGTAATGATGCCATCTTTCTTCCACCTTTTATTTCCAGCTGCATTGACTACTTTGCACTGATGAGGCACTCTTAAGAGTCAGAAGTGTCTCTAAGTCTGCACTTACTGACCCTAAGGACCTGGCCCTCTAGACACTACTTCCATCTATCTGATACTACGTTTTGACTGTGGAACACTTTTTCTGCCGAATATTGTATAGACTGCAGTCTAGGGAGACAGCTCTTGCTAGTTTTCATTTCTTTGCTGTGTTCAAACCAAGTACCTCATACATACCTAAAAGTGCCGAAATATTAATCATAAAACCAAAGATACCACTCTCTGGAGGTTTAGTTCCAGTGTCACTAAAGCAGGAAGAGAGAGAAGAAATTAAAAGTTAATTGAGATCTGTGAAACATAAATGAGACATACCCACGAAACCCCAAGAGAAATTTAACTGGCGTGAACTGCTGCTATATGCATAAGACATTTAAATATATAAATTGGAAAGTCGCCTGCTGCACACTTAAGCTCTATTTGTAGTACTGAATCTTTCTTTTTAGAAAGAAATAATATTTTTAGAGCATACTATTTGAACTGTATTTCTTCCTTTTCTGTATGCAATATGCAGAGATGCAACAGAGCGATACTTTGCTCATGAATGACATAAATGATTACAAAAATGACATTTTAGAAATGACATTTCTTTTTTCTGCTAAACTAACACTGTGATAGAGTAAAACATATCTAATGGCATTCAGTATCCTAAGATGTGAGAGAATTTGGCTTAATTTCCTGATTTGTTTGAAAGGACTTTACCCCAGGAGAGCAATTGCGTTCCAATACCTGGGAGCGTTCTTAGGCACTGTTTATTTTACTAATGTAGATACAGCTTAAGAGTACTCTAGGCCCAAGGTGTTGTAAGTCTTCTGCTGAAACAATTCACCTTCATAGGGGATAATTAGAAGTTCACTGGGACAGACAGAGAGAGCACGAGTGTGAGAATATCTACACAATTTCTACACATACATGCATGCATACACATATATGAAAAGCGTCATACATACAAAATATATGTTATATAGAAAATTGAATCCCTTCATCATAGAATCCTTCTCCCTCTTTTCCTTACATACATGCAAACACCCACACAAACATGCACGCCAGAGAATGAGAGAATGCCCTCTCCTTGTAGGAAGGACATACGCCTGGGAGTGTGTAGGTTCAAGTCCCCTCAAGCAGGACTCTTTTACACAAGGTGAGTGCTCTGTTGAAATAAGAATACTGCGATGCCATCACCTCTTTACACTTTTTTTCTTGTCTAGTGTACAACCAGTCGAGGATATCTGTTTGATCAGGTTCTGTTGGTCAAGGCAATGGAAAACACTTAGCTCATAAATCTTTACACAGTTTGGGTATTATTGTCACCAGTACCAAGAGGCACAATTGTGTGTGTAAACAGAGGCACCCAAGGAACTCTACTGTCAGAAACGTAAACATATATGGGTTTTAGCTTATGCCAAAGTTCAGTGGAAACTGAGCAAAGATTCTGAGAATGAAACTTTCTTAGGGGTATGATGAGACAAGTAGTTACGAGCTAGAGATTCTTCTTATGTGATTCAAGAAGATGAATACTCTTGATTCCAACAGTGAGGCTGGATTAGTTTCCAGTGCTAAACTTCCAAACCTACCACCTTGTGCAGCCAAAATGACAGGTGCTCAACGTGAACGCCTGTGCTCTTAACACTCAAAAGAGAAAGCACTCGATACAAAAGCCAGATTTTGACAATTTTGTTAACTTCAAGCCAGAAGAGTATGACCACATCAAAAGATTTAATTTTTTAGAAATTATATTCTCTCACAATCCTCTTCTATGTTACAAAAGCATTTGTGTAATCAGTTGCTAAGATGATTTAGCAGGAACTGGAGGAAGCTTAGGGTGAAAGGAGAATTCTTTTCTATGAAAAGCTGATGCAAAAACTAGAGAAAAATATTGTAGTTCTTTTGACTGGATTGCTTCCAAATTCTCAGATAGCAAAAGCTTGGACGAGGCTTTTAGACAAGTTTTTACAACTTCTCAAGCATTAAGAATCCCTATTCATCTGTATTTTCTTATTGTAATGCTTTCTGAAGACTTGCTCCAGCTTGTACTCTTGTTTCTCTTGTAGTCTTGTTTCTCTTTGATAGTGGAATTGATGAAAACAGTACAGGAACTCTCATTTTTTTGTCTGACACTTCTGAAAATCACCTTAATCCATGCTTCATTTAGCCCATTTTTTAACCTTGAACCATACACCTTTTCCTCATGTTTCTGGAGCGTTTTCATAAATACGACAAAGTACTCCATTTAAGAAGTGGGCCACTTGTGACAATCTTGAAGGACTTTTGCAAATCAGAAACTGCTCTATGCTAAGTACAGGACTGGGATCACTTCAAAGCTTTTGAAGGACTTCAGGTGAGAAGAGAGTGGAATCGGCACATGCAAAGAAAGCCATTTGAAGTTTTTGGAACACTTCACATCATACGAGCAATCCAAATAACCTGAAATTGCACTGAGCTCCATCCATTTTTCAATTAAAGCTTTTCTCAAGCTAAAGCTTTATAGGTGAATTTTGCTATTGTTATAAAAAAATCCCTGAAGCTAAATGAAGACTTCGGTACATTTTTATTTTACTTCTGGTCTAGTGCTTTGGATAAAAGGCAAAAGAAGTATTCTGAGACAATTACTTCCTTTTCATAAAAAAAAGAAAAAAGAAAATGGCACATGTGAGACAAAAACATGTGCTCTCTTATTTGCAACGGTGCATGGATAAGCACAACCACCATGGAAAAGACAAGGAACCCGGTATGAAAATGACAGCATTTGTGTCACCGTCTCACATACCAGAATTCTACAAACAGTCTAACAGTATTCTGAAGTGTGGAAAGGCAAGAAGGTAAGGAGACAGAGAATAAATATTTTAGGGCCAAAAGACTCATCGTCATCAAATTTTCTTCATAGCCATCATAAACTACTGCTATCCAAACTGAAATCCCAGATTTTTCAAGTAGGAAGATTATATTCTGCCGACAGTGATTCTGATTGATCCAGAGGTACTAAATGACAGCAAATACTTTAAGGAAAGTGCCCTTTACTCTTTCACTGAGAATTCAAACCACTGAACAGCCACCCCAGCACATCCTAATTAGTTTGAATTTTGAGTAGTATGAGCAAAAGAACTAATTTGGGCACAACCTAATCAACTTTTAGGCTTCAGCTGCCAGAAAACACAAAATCATCTTCACTTTTATCTACCTAGAAATGTATTTATATGGTTTACTTGATGAGACATCAGCACAGGTTCAATGACAAACTTAGATGTGTGTCTTTCACTGTGACAGTCGTTGCATGGTAAACAAATAAAATCAACAAGTTACCTCAAGGTATACACTGAGTACTTGAGGAATGCAAATAAGAATTGTAGAAATGTTGAACTAAAATTTGAAAATATTTTTCTCCTTAGTGTAACTGGAATTTCACCATACAAACTCTATTTAATTTTTATAGTTCATTTTAAGATATTGCACAACTGAAATGTTGCAACATTCTTCCTCTTTCTTTTTTATCACTCTAAGTTTCACTAAATCACATTCTTAATCTCATGATTCAGCTTCTCAGGCTAAAGCAATGACCTACAAAACAAGAATATGAACTATTGTATGACTTACTGGCCTGAGTACTTAGAAGGAATCATAGTATTACCTTCTACAAAGATCATATGCTTAGACCTCACACCTTTAGAAATCTTACAGATTGTTCACCAACAGTCAATATATATCCTTAGTCCAAATGTTAAGAATGTAAAATAAACAAGACATCTATCTTTCAAAACACTTTACTAGCAAATGTAGTTTTTTAATCAGTGACACAGCCTCATATGTCTTGGGGTTTTTTTAGGGTATGTGGACATTTATTGTGATTCCTTAGTTAAAGGATAACAGTGATTTTTTTCAGTAAGATGTTCAGTTAGATTGATACAACTATGGCAGCTGTGATACATTTATGGGAGTTACACAGCTGTGACTTGTAGGTCTGGTCTACCTCTTTAAAAAGAATGACACTGACAATTGAGATATCTGGGCTATCAAAAACTTGACTGCACAATTACACAGAAAAAAATCATCCTGTTCTCTCATATATTCTATTCAAGGACATGGTTTCAACACAAGAAACACCATTTACCAAATTTCTTAGTACAGGACCTCAAAATCCTTCTGAGCACAAACCATGTACTGAGTGTGGACACAGTTATACTAAATGGTTTCTTTTTCTTGGTTAATAATGGGTAAATTGCACTGATTACAAGAAGTTTGTGTCAGTAAAATTGTGTATGTAATCAAGGAAAAGCATGAGTATAACCACAGTTGCTGAAGCAGTAGGGTATTTGTGCATGTGCAAGGAAAAAGCTTCCCAATGGCTGAGTCCAGATTTGGGCAGATAATCTTAAGAAGTTTGGCTAACATAAGCATGAAGCTCGACTTTCTTTGGCTCAATTTTAATGAAGCTCAACTTTCTTGTGGGTTGCGGTGTCATTTGCACCATCTCACTTGCTTATGATTACAGACCCTAATTTTCAATCAAATTTATGTGTATGTACAAATCAGGTTAGCAGCCTTCTGAAATTATGCATGTCCATAAAGTCCTTCAAGGAATTAGGTGTAGATGTATCTTTAGGCATATGTTTGAAAATCTTTTTTTGATCTTCTGTTTATCAGAGACCACTCTTGGATTTCTGGCTTAGCTTTACTCTATTAAGAACTAAACAGCAATAAAATTCACAATTCAGATTTAAATATTAACATAATCAATGTATAAAAAATGATTTATACAGAACTGCGCTTAAATGACTAAGGTCACAGAAAAGAGACGCCAGTCATCTCTCGGGCAGCCTTTTACACCCATTGCTCCTATGCTGAAATTTTAAAAATGCGCGTTCGTGAGTATGCGTATCCTACAAAACCTATTGTAGGGCTTCGAGTCCTGTCACCCTCTGGTGCCCTTTGGCCCAGTTCTGGAGTCACACAAGCAAAACTACATTTCCACCGCTTACTCCTTAAGTTTTGCTAGGATCGGGCCTGCAGCACACTTTGGCTCCAGCATAAAACTGTTTCAGGACCTTTCTACCACATCCATCAGCGTTCGGGTCCTGCGGCTCTCAGAGAGGATGGGGTGCCTGAAGCGTGACGGGTGACAGGTGCGCACAGCGGGTCCCCTCTCAGCCTTCCCTCACGGGG